CGGCCTTGCCCGCCTCCAGTGAGGTCTAAATAGGGAACAATGACAAAGGATAGCCAGGTGTCATCTAATCGTCAGTAGGACTTGTATAAAACCACAGTACAGAGTTCAGTGGACAACTAGGCTAGAGTACATTACTTCGGTTCCTCATCCAGCCTGCGATATTTTATACACTGATTCCTAAAACCAAAGAAGAGCATTTGTAGCGCCAGTTTAAAGGGGCCACTTGTGGCTCTTTATAAAAGCTTGGTTGCTAGCCAAAAGGTTAATGGTTGAAACCCACCAACTGCTCTGCAGGAGAAAGACGTGGCTAACATCTTTGGAAATCCTATGGGGTAGTTCTGCTCTGTCCTATATATAAGGTCACTAAGAGCTACACCAGGACTCTGGTAGCATAGTGGTTACGAATCAGGCTGCTAACCTCAGGGTCAGCAGTTGAAAACTACCAGCTGTTCCACAGGAGAAAGATGAGGCTTTCTGCTCCCATAAAGATTTATAGCCTCGGAAACCCTGTACAGGGTCTCTATGAGTCGGAACTGACTCCACGGCACTCAACAACAACAACAATATAGGATTTCCTAGTGTGGCACTTATAGGATAAGCACTGGACTGCAAGTTGGTTTGAACCACAAGGTTGGTCACTCATACTCAACAGCCGCTCCTTGGAAAACCTTATATAGGGTCGCTATGAGTCGGAACTGACTCCGTGGCACTTAACCACAGAAACAATATAGGATTCCCAAGGCTGTTCTCTTTATGGAAGCAAATTGCCACGTCATTCTCATGCAGAGTGGCTGGTGGGTTCAAATTGCTGACCTTTCAGTTAACAGCCAAGTGCTTAACCACTATGCCAACAGGGCTCCTTTCAGATTGGGGGACTGTTTCTTATTCATCTTTGTACCCCTGCTTCTCACCTGAGATCAGGGCTTAGCAACTGAGTAAAGAACTAGAAAGAAATACTGGTCAGATCCTCCTTGTCTTCTTCATAACCTAGCACCTGCAGGGTTCAGGCCCATTGCCCTCTCTTGAGTCTTGCTCTGTGAGAATCCCTCCACAGAGATGCCTAATATAATTATTGTGTCATGTAGAGCTGTGCTTGGGAAATCTGCATGGGATGACTAAAGGAATATGTCTTTCTTCCTCATTCTACATTTAAGTGCTTAAAAATGCAAAAGATTCAGAAATGTGTGTTCGCTTCAGTTCAAGGCACCAGGAACCCATGTACCCTTGAGGTAAATAATCATTCTGAGGAACCTGTCTTGATTTCCTTCTGGAATTCAGTGTGTGGAGGAAAGTTTCTCAGCATATGTACTCATTGGGGTTCTGCCCTCTCTTCCATACTCCCTTTTGGCTGTGAGTTGTAGGTGGGCAACTGCCCTAAATCTCCAGAGAGCCTATACAGTTGTTATTGTTGTTAAGTGCCATCGAGTTGGTTTCAACTCAAAGTGACCTTTATAGGGTTTCCGAGGAGCAGCTTGTGGGCTTGAACCACTGACCTTGTGGTTCAAACTGACTATGCAGTCCAGTGCTTATACTACAGTGCCACACCAGGACTCTACTCCTGTAGCAAGGAGGAAAACATAAAGCTGAGGTAAAGCAAGCTGCAACTAAGAGTCTGTGTTTTTAGTTTTGTGGTCTCTTATTTAACCTATAGTGAGGTGGTGTCTGAATTTGTTCCTTTGGAAAATGATTTTTGATTACCATCAGTATTCTGTGCTGGACATACAATGAGGAAGGACATACAAAGTCTCTGTGACATGCAACTTGCATTTAAGGAGAGAAGAGATAACAAATATAGAAGTTAATTGTTGTTGTTATTAAATGTTATTGTTTCATTAGGTGTCATTAAGTTGGTTCTGACTCATAGCAACCTTCTGTACAACAGAATGAAATGCAGCTTGGTTCTGTGCTATCTTCACAACCATTCCCATGTTTGAGACCATTGTTGAAGCCACTGTGTCAGACCTTCTCATGAGGGTCTTCCTCTTTTTCACGAACCCTCTGCTTTACCAAGCATGATGTCATTTTCCAGGTACTGATCTTGCCTAAATGTCTTGCCATCCCTGCTTCTAAGCAGCATTCTGGCTATACGTCTTCCAAAGTCAGTTATATAACAATTATTGCTGCCCCCAAATGGGGTAATGGGATAGGAACTTTGAGTAAAGGAGCTAGAATTCCATGCTTAAAGTAAGGTGTATTTAATCTGTATGATGAGCAAATAATCTGAGAAACTGGATTATATGAAGAAGAGCATGGCATCAGGATTGGATGAAGACTCATCAATAACTTGAGATAATACAAATGACACAAATTTGCTTGCTGGAAGCAAAGAAGACTTAAAATACTGATGAAGATCAAAGACTACAGTCTTCAATATGAATTGCACCTCAACATAAAGAAAACAAACATCCTCACAACTAGACCAATAAATAGCCTCATGATAAATGGAGAAAAGATTGAAGTTGTCAAAGACTCCATTTTGTTCAGATCAACCATCAATACTCATGGAAGCAGCAGTCAAGAAATCAAATGGCACGAGGAACTCCAAGATGAACTGATACAGTGGCAGAAGCAATAGGTCAAACGTAGCAGATTGTGAGGATGGCGCAGCACTGGGCAGTGTTTTGTTCTCTTGTGCATAGGGTCACTATGAGTTGGAACCAACTCAAAGACACCTACCAACAACAACAGGTAACGGGACATTTGAGCTGAGAATTGAATGAGCATTAGAGATTTGGGTGGAAATCATTTTAGGCAGAGGAAACAGCAAAGGACAAGGAAGCCCTTCTTGTAGTTGTAGTGTTCCAGCTAAGATTGGGAATGTGAACAAAGTATGATGCGTGAAGGGGCAGGTGGACAAATGAGGCAGAGTCTAGAGCAGTGGTTGTGTCCTAACCACACATTAGAGTTATCTGTGGAACTTAAAAGAAATCTCCAATGACTGGGCTCCACCCCTAGAAATTGTGATTTAATTGTTCTGGGGCGGGACCTGGACATTGGTATTTTATAAAAGCTCCCCAGAGAATTCATTCCATGATGCAGCTGGGGTGCGAAGCACTGATCTCAATCATGCAGGGTCTTACAGACTGCTGTGGTAAGGAGTTTGGACAATGGAAAGTCACTAGATAGATTGGGCCAGGGGAGTCACATGATCTGGTTTACCTCTTCAAGAGGCTCACTTTGCTCCAGCTTGGAGAGTGGAGGTAGGAAGTTGGGAAAGTGGCCCAGGAGAGAAGTAATGGTGGCTTGGAACAGGGCAGTATTGGTGGAGATGGTGAGAAGAGGTCAGTTTGGGGATAAGTTTTGGATGTTATTAACAAGATGGATTGGATTGGGGGCAGAAAAGATAGTTTAGGAATATGAGGCAAAAGGAAGTAAAGGTTGCCTTACAGCATTGACCTAAGTAACTGGGTGCTATTCACAAAAGTGGGAGAGATCAGGGAGGAACAGGCTTGAGAAGTAGATGAAATAGTTATATGTACTGATTAGAGAGAGAACCTCAGACCTTTCTTCTCCCTAAAGTAACTTAGAAGTATAAACAATCACATGAGGTTATTCAGAGAAATCCTGAATGTAATAGTACTAACAGTTTTCTTGAAGTCTTTCATAGATAAACACCAAAAGCCATTGACCATTGTAGTGCATTTAGGTCTTGAGAGGAAGTCGAAGGACAGAAGAGAAACTGAAAACATTGAACTTCTTTCTTGTAGGAATCAGGCAGGACATGTTGTTGATAGTTGTTATCTAGTTATTAGCCCCTGACTCATGCATGGGGACCCTGTACAAAATGGAACAAAGCGCTTGTCCGATCTTCTGTGACCCCATAATTGGTTGGGGATCTGATTGTTGTGAGTCATAGGGCTGGTTTTCTTGGGCTGATTTTTGGATATATATCACCAGTCTTTTCTACCTAATTGTGTTACTCTGGAATCTTCACTGAAACCTTTTCAGCATCACAGCAACACACAATCCACCATTTACAGGCTGGATGTAAGGAAAGGATATATTTTGAGAGCTTGCTTACAGTTGACACCTGACTTGATAATGTAATGAATGGTATGGTGATACACTAAACCCAAAACAGCAGGATAAGAAATTTACATTTGACTTTAAAAAATGTCCTTCCAAGATACATGTCTAGCTTATGTTAAGATTATAGTTAATTCTCACTCCTTGACTAGGCCCTGGGTACCCAGCAAATAAAAACAACCCAAACTTTAAATTCAGAAATTAAGAGTACGATATGAAATTTGTTAGAATGGTGTGTTTTTTTTCTCTTCATGGAAGAACCTGGGTTAAATTGTGGTGATGAGTCATGTCATTTGGTTATTAGGAAAATATCCTGATTATAAGCTTCCTGAGAGCAAGGAAGCTCTTTTACAGTTTATTATTTAAAATATCTAGAATCTCTGGAATCCTGGTGTGGCGGTGTGGGATAATGTGCTAGACTGCAAGGTCGGTTTGTACCGCAAGGTTGGTGGTTCAAACTCACCAGCTGCTCCTCGGAATCCCTATACAGGGTCACTGTCAGTCTGACTGGACGATACTTAACAACAACAACAACAGAGTGTCTACTTATTCTGGGACTTTTCATTTGTTTATTTAGTAAAGTTATAGGACCATCAAAGCAAAAATTCTTCTGAAGTCGGGACTTCACTGAATAAGCAAGCAAAAATGTGGCCAGAAAACTTCTAAAGTCCCAATAGCTCCTTCTGAGGTACCTCATGGTTCTTTTTAAAGAAGCTTTAGATGTAGCTGCCTTCACATGAAAAATGAGAGAATTTGGAATTGGCACAGACATTTGCAAAACAACCATGGCCTCAAACTCTTTAAAGAACTTTCTTTAAATTGCAACTCCAAGTGCCAGCAGCTTGGGAGCTCAAGATAGGTGGTCCTGAACTTTAAGATGTCATCTTGTAAGGCTCTCTCATTTGGTGAGCTGAGCAAAAGCATTCACAGTCCACTTGATTGCTTAATGCCGTTTTGTCCCTATCCACTCACAGATAACTGCAGTGACCTGAACTCAGAACTGCAGAGGGTTCTGACGGGGTTGGAGAGTGTCGTCTGTGGCAGGAAGAAGAGCAGCTGCAGCCTCTCCGTGGCCGAAGTGGACAGGCACATCGAGCAGCTGACCACGGCCAGTGAACACTGTGACTTGGCTATTAAGGTAGAGTCTACCACCACCTCTCTGTCAGAGTCTTCCAGATTCTATGAGGGGACCGGTAATAGCCTTTTCTTAAATATCTGTTTGGGATAAATGTTCCTATGAAAGCCATACTATAGATTGGGCCACCAGCAGAAGTCTCATAGATTCTTACTGAGCTGCATTAAGAAAAGCCATTAAGTCAACAACCAAGATCACTAGTTTTGCCACAAAAAGAACCATGTACTTGGAAACTAATAGAATGTAAATGTTGAAACCACATCATTTTTGTTTGGCTCGTTTATTAACTTGGATGTTTCACTAAAGCTGTAAGGCTTCTAGAATATTATTTGAGGAGTTATCCATTCACGGTGCTAACCGGAGGAGGTTCAAGATCTAAATGGACCTTTTGTCTTCACATCCATCCTAAGCATACTGGAGCTGGGTCTCAGCCACACCTTTCACAAGCAATTTGCTGTATCTCTGTACCAGTTCATTAAGAATAATGGGAAATGATAAGTCCTATTGCTACTAAGACTCTGATATCTTCATATTACTTAACTATGGCTTAGTTACCTAGGCATAGCCATTCAAACACTACCTAACTTAAAAGTCTAGGAGGAACTTGTGCAGATATGTTACTGGAAAAAATGTCTTAGGACTGTAGGTCCAAGTTTCCATTTATAGGAGTCCTGGCTTTCACCAAAGAGTTGTGGTGTGTCTCATGGTGTGTCTCAAGGTAAATTGTGATGCACATCAATACAGCTGGTTTTCCATCTTCATTCATCTCAATTATAAATATACGGTTGGTGTGGTTTCAATGGGGAGAAACATCCTCAGGTGTTACGGTCTTTGAAGTTTCCCAGGCTCTGTGTTTGCAACATCAACCTGGTTTTAGCATTGAGAGGACCAAGGGAAAGCGGGGGCTAAGGACTTGTGCCAACCAGGCATTGTGGGGTGAGCCTGCAGCAAAGCCAAGTAGGTTAAGAATCTCAGATTTGAGAGAAATGACAAAGCACAACACAGGAAAGATGACAGCCTAATTGGGTGACTGTCTTCACCAGGGAACTATTACAAGCTTTCAAGAGTGACATACACTTTAGTCTTCATATTTGAGGCCTTCTGTTTCTCATTATGTCACTTCACTGTCTTTTATCCGTACACAGTACTTCTCCCTCCTCTTTAAATATCTGCAGACTTACGCTTCTTCTTCCACATGACAATCGATGTGAATGAATAGTTTCTGGAAGCAAGCACAGTGAATGTTTCTTCTCTCCCTTGCCCCCACTTGTGTGCATGTTTCCTTCCCATTAATAATTTTATAAATAAATTTTAAATTCCATATTTCCACCTATTACTAAGATTCTGTTCTTTTTGCTTCCTAGTTGTCTTATTAATTAATTAAACCTCTGCTGTCTTAGGAGCCTCCACAATGAGCTTCCTCTTTTCTGTGTCACTGAGACTTATTTTTGTCTTTCACATCTTGGGACTGAGCCTCATTCACACCATCGGAATCCTGATACGACTAAAAGCTGGAAATGGTGGTGTGGCCTCTCTTACTGCTGAGTCTGAACATGGGAGGCCTATAATTTAGGAAACTGCAAGTTAGATTTTGTATGCTGCTTGCAACTTAGTGTTTGTGATTACCTTATCAGAATCGCTAATTGGCTGACTGACTGGTTATGTGTGTTCACCAGTTCTGGAACTTGAATTGGGGAGATAACCATTTGTGTGGACATGGCAGTTAGTGCTACAGATGGAGTTAAACACCTGGAAGAACTGTATTTTCCCTGCTCTGGGGGCTGCTGGGTAACACAGACAAGTGACACTGAAAATGGTGAAAGTACGGTTTGGGGGCATAACTAGTTATGATGTTATTTGTAATTAAATGGTTTTAGAACTTATTCCTTGTGGACACCTGCTACTGTCTGGGATGCTTTGTTTTTCCCCCTTCTCCATGGCAATCCAGTTGGATGTTCTTTGTGGCTATGTTTTATAGACGGTCGAGGAGATTGAGGGAGTACTTGGCCGGGACCTGTACCCCAACCTGGCTGAGGAGCGTGCTCGGTGGGAGAAGGAACTGGCTGGACTGAGGGAAGAGAATGAGAGCCTGACCGCCATGCTGTGCAGCAAAGAGGAGGAACTGAACAGGACCAAGGCCACCATGAATGCCATCCGAGAGGAGCGAGACCGACTCCGGAGGAGGGTAAGCACACCATCCCCATTGTGGCCAGACCTGTTCCAGTGTGGGCTGAGAGGAGGTGGCACGGAAAGCCAAAGGCAGCCCCAAGGGTTTTCTGGCATATTTATAGTGTTGGAACGTCACAATCGCTTTCTTGTTATAAAGTCATTCTTGAAAATGCTAAGGTATGGAGTTAAGACTTTAAAAAACACTCTGGAAACTCAAATCCAAGTGCCTGGTAAAATTATGGACAATGATTCTTTTTTTTTTTTAATGTTTATTGTGAATTATGTGATAGTTTACATGGGAGAACAGTAGCTTTACATTCATCCTATTGTATATTGTTTCATTGCCATGGTTACAATCCCCTCCATGCATTATCAACCAACCAAAGGGTATACCCCACAAACCTCCCACCCCCATCCCCAGTCGTCAGCACACAGTTCCTCTCCCTCTCTGGGTCTAAAGTCCCCAGCTGCTCCATCTCTCCATGTCATCATCTCTGCCTCTGTCTCTGGTTGGACAATGATTCTTGAACCACTCCTCAGGAAATGTGTATCTTCCCCAACCTCAGTTTAAAGATTGTTCTTTTAAGATAGACTAATAATATATTCTATAATTTAGAAACAAAATACAGAATTTTCCCATGGGTTTTTTTGTTTTGTTGTTATAATTTTTAAATTTTATATTATCTGCTCTCTCTTATCTATATAGAATCTAATGTAAAATGTCATCTCATCTAGCATTGTTGTTAAGTGCCATGGAGTCGGTTCCGACCCATAGTGACCCTGTATAGGGTTTCCAAGGAGCAGCCGGTGAGCTTTAACTGCTGACCTTGTGGTTCAAACCGACTTTGCAGTCCAGCGAATTTACCTTCAGTGAGTGTAAACTCATTAAAGTTCAAATAAAATCTAGTTGCCAGCAAGCTGATAACAATTCATGGTGATTTCCATGTGTTCAGAGTGGGATTGCTCTATAGGGTTTTCAAAGCTATAACATTTTGGATGCAGATCACCAGGCCTTTATTCTTCCAAAGCACCGCTGGGTGGGTTCAAACCATCGACCTTTGATTAATGGTTGGTCACTTAACTGAGCACCTAGGGACTTCTAAATGTGAATACCAGCCATTGAAACTCCTTTGGAACCCAGTTCTACTCTGATACACAAGGAATTGCCATGAGTTAAAATGGACTATGTCCACGGCAGGGGTGCAGGGGAGGTGGGGGGAAGGCTGTCTGTATGTGTGAGTGTGTATGTGAGAGAGAGAGAGAGAGGAGAGACTTATCACTAGTATTCTTCCTAGTATACTAATGGCTTCACCACTTTAACTAGTTTGAGAACCAATTTGTTTACATCCATTACTTAAGGAGCTAATGTTTCAGCATAAAAATGTTTGGCAGAATTGTTAAAGCTATCAGTTTTCCAGAGATGACGTTGTTTCCCAAGAACCCACTGTACTTCTTTGTGTGGCTTTGAATTTGAGCTGTGATTGAACTGAGTTCTTCAGTCAGAAACAGTTCCCTCTGAACTTCACCTTGAATCACTAGGCCAACTCTACTCTCTTGATCCTTGTAATATAAGAAGCTTGCTTTCTAGTTGTACCCTAACTGGAGATTTTGCTTGCACATGAAGTTGAAACGGCGGGGAGGGGGATGAGGATCTGGGAAGATTCATCACCCATCACCATTGTTCCTTACTCTTTAAAAACCACCTTGGAAATAATTTGTTCTTTAATAAGCACAACATGTATAAATCATTCTGTTTTTAATTGGCATATTATGTATGGACAGTGGCAGGTTACCCAATAAGCAAGCTAAGCATGGGCTTGCTTACTAAACTGTATCAAGCAGTTTCACATTTTTTCACCACATCAAAGATTATCCTTCCAGATATTGTTAGCATCTGCTTCTCTCCCAACCCCACATTTGAAATCAACTTCCTACAGAGTCAAAGGCTCATTGTAAACTGACAATACCTAAAAGGGATAGAGTACTCAGTAAGCAAGGTAAGCATTAGCTTACTTGCTAATCTGTAGTGAATAGTTTCACATGTGTTTTAAAGACTTGGTGGAAAAACATGTGAAACTGTTCACTACAAATCAGTAAGTAGTATTTATTGGGTAATTCATCCCTATATATGGATATGGAAGAAATGACTGTTTTTGAATGTAATTCAATCTCACCCTTATTTGAGAGCAATGGCACAATTAAAAGACCAGAACTCATGCCTCTCATGTCTGAATTCATGTGCCTAAGCATATTTTCAGTACCCAGCTATATCGGATCCCAATCTCCATGCTTGCATCAGCGGGTGTAAATCATTCCAATCAGCAAAGCTTTTATCTGGGCAACCTGGTGAAATGTGCTTAGTACTACAGCCCACACCACCTGTAATTTCCTGGATTACACTCCCTGATTGTTATGACTAATGTCCTAATTGGTGTGCTTGCTTTTTAGTGTGTGTTCTGATGGCACTCGCCTGTCAGTTTGTCGTACTGCAGTGGTTGGAGTGTTGATGGGATGCAGGAAGCTATGCCATCTGTATTTCATGTACAGTTTGTCCATGGGGGACAGGTTTCAGCTGAGCTTTCAGACTAAGACTAGGAAGAAGGAGAGAAGGACTACTTCTGAATGTTTAGCCATTAGAAATCCTATGAATAGCAGTAGAACACTGTCAGAGAGCACCAGAATACTGAATATTGAACCATGATGAAGAGCACCAGAATATTGTCAAATAGAGAGCCTGAAGATGGGCACTCAGGTTGAAAGACACTCCAAATACTACTAGAGAAAAGCTGCCTCCTCAAAACATAGTTGACCTGGATGAGGCAAATGGAGTAAAACATTCAGGACATTCACTTGCTGATGGGGCATAATGCAAAATGAGAACAAACAGCTGTAAACATCCATTGATAATCAGAATATGGAATGTACAGACTATGTTTCTAGGAAAATCATAAGTTTTCAAAAATGAAATGGAACACATAAAGATCAATGTCTTAGGCATTAGTGAACTGAAATGGACTGGCATTGGCCATTTTGAATCTGACTGTCATATAGTTTGCTATACTGAGAATGACAACTTGAGAAGGAATGGCACCACATCCATCAACAAAAAGAGCATTTTAATATCTGTCTTGAAGTGTTATTCTCTCAGTAATAGGATAATATCCATACTCCTACAAGGGAGTCCTGGTGTGGCGCTGTGGGTTAATGCTCCAGACTGCAAAGCCATTTGAACTGCAAGGTCGGTGGTTCAAGCTCACCAGCTGCTCCTCAGAAACCCTATACAGGGTAGCTATGGGTCCGAATCAACTCAGCGGCACTTAACAACAACAAGGTAGACCCAAACAGTTAATACCACTAGTATTCAAATGTACACATCAACCACTAAAGCCAGTGATGATAAATTCAAAGAATTCTACCAACTTCTTCAGTCTGAAATTGATCAATCATGTAATCAACATATATTGATAATTACATGTAATTGGAATGCAAAGGTGAGAAACAAAGAAGAAGGATTACTTTTTGGGAACTATGACCTTAGTGATAGACACAATGCTGGGGAACACATGATAGAATTTTACAAGACCAATGACTTACTCATTTTAAATACCCTTTTAAATGACAACTGTACACACGGAATATGGCATAAACAGACGTCAGATTGACCATATACATCAGAAGAGATGGTAGAAAGGCTCCATATCACTAGCCAAAACAAAGGGAGACTGTGGAACAGACCATCAGTTGCTCATATGCAAGTTTAGGCTGAAGCTGAAGAAAACTAAAAGAAGTCTATAAGAACCAAAATATGACCTTGAACATGATCCTACCTGAATTTAGAGATAATTTCAAGAACAGATTTAATGGATTAGATACTAATGACTGAAGACTAGAAAAGTTGTGGGATGAAATCAAGACCATTGTACAGAATGAAAGCAAAAGGTCATTAAGAAGACAAGAAAGTAGGGGAAAAAACAAATGGATGTCAGAAGAGACTCTGAAACTTGCTCTCCAGCATACCAGATGCTAAAGTAAATGGAAGAGATGAGGCTATAAAAGAGCTGAACAAAAAATATAAAACGGCAGCTCAAGAAGACAAATTGAAGTATTATAATAAAATGTTCTAAGACCTGGAGTTAGATAATCAAAAGAGAAAAATACGCTCAGCATTTCTCAAGCTGAAAGAACTGAAGAAAAATGTCAGGCCTTTATTTGTACTATTGAAGGATTCTATGGCAAGATCGTAGGAGAATTAATGCCTTTGAGTTGTGGTGTTGGAGGAGAATACTGAAAGTGCCATGGACTGCCAAAAGAACCAATAGATCTGTTTTGGAAGAAGTACAACCAGAGTGCTCCTTGGAGGCCAGGATGGCTAAGCTTCGTCTCTCATACTTTGGACATGATTGTCTGGAGGAAAGAGTCGCTGGAGAAGGATGTCATGCTGGATAAGGTGGAGGGTCAGAGAAAAAGAGGAAGACCTCTAAAGAGATGGATTGGTCAGGTGGTATCATTGATGGACTCAAGTGTGACAGCGGTAGTGAGGTTGGTCCAGGATCGGACATTGTTTTGTTCTGCTTTGCATGGGGTCGCTATGAGTCGGTTCTGACTCGATGGCACCTGACAACAACAGCAACAACAATGGCAAATTATTGAATGATGCAGAAAGCATCAAAAGAAATGATCAATATTCAACCATTTCATGACGTAGCATAGGATCAAGAGTCAGTGGTACTGAAGGAAGAAGTCCAAGGTGCACTGAAAGCACGGATAAATAACGAGGCTCTGGGAAATGGTGGAATACAAATTGAAATTTTTAACAAACTGTTGCAGCAATGGTGACACTCGCTTATCTAGGCCAAGAAATTTGCAAGACAGTTACCTAGCCAACTGATTGGAAGCGATCCATATTTATGCCCAATCCAAAGAAAGGTGACCCAACAGAAGATAGAAATCGTTGGACAATATCATTAATATCAGAAGCAAATTTTGCCAAAGATAAGTCAAAAACAACTGCAACAG